TGTCTCGGTATATCTCCAAGAACATCACTAAACTGCTGAAGCACACACAAGATATCTTGCTGCTGTTCATGGGATAAATGAGAAATTTTAGAGTTTGGATTTTTCAGAATGTCACTATTTTGCAATTTGAACCCAACATCGCCCACATCAAAGTCACTCTCCATCTCAGGTGAAGCGGCAGTATCTCCCCGCTCTTCAGGAACAAAGATCGCACACAAGGCACTGGCAGCTTCCGGTCTACGTGGGTGGTATTTCTTAAGGAGATTGATGTGAACCACCTTTTTCTTTTTCCTGCGACCCGGGTAGCAATTACATAATTAATGTCATTAATTTTCTCCAGTACTTTGAAAGGTCCCTGATATTTTGCAGTTAATGGTTGTTTTCTAACAGGTAAAAACAATAGCACTTTTTCCCCAATACCAAATTCTCGTTCAATTGCATTTCTATCATATGTTCCTTCATTGAGCACTGTGCTCTTTCTAAATTCTTATGAGCAAATTCTTGAAGTGTTGCAATCTGGTCTTCATTTTTACCACATAATCACTTAGAGACCCTGAATTTTCAATACCTATCCAGCTTTCATACAATAATTTCATGGGTCCGCGGATGTCTCTCCCAAATAACAATTCATATGGTGAGAACCCGAGACTCTCCTGCTTAGTACATCTTATGGCATACAACATTAAAGGCACTCCTAGATCCCATTCACTGCCCGTTTCATGACAATATTTCGTGAGCATACTCTTAAGTGTTTGATGGTACCTTTCAAGGGCACCTTGCGTCTGTGGCCGATAAGCTGTGGCACTATACTGCTTAACGTGTAACAATTTCATTACTTCCTGAAACATTACTGACCAAAAATTGCTTCCCTGATCGGACTGCAATACACGTGGCATACCATACTGTGTAAAAAATTTGATCAAGACTGGGACGATAGTACGAGATGTAGCTCGTTTCAAAGGAATTGCCTCGGGTACCTAGTACTGGCACACATGAGGGTAAGTAAAACCTATTTCCGCTCTTTGTTCTGGGAAGAGGTCCAACGCAATCAATGATTACCCTTGAGAATGGTTCCTCAAATGCAGGGATAGGCTTAAGAGGTGCAGGTGGGATAACTTGGTTAGGTTTACCAACCCTTTGACAAATATCACAAGTTCGACAATATCTCGTTACATCTGACGTAACACCTGGCCAATAAAAATATCTGAGGACTTTATCGAGTGTCTTCTTGATACCCAAGTGCCCTCCACCCAAATCGTGAGCCAAACTAATAACTTTAGGTCGATAACAAGTTGGTACCACCACTTGAAAAACTTCGTGCCACGAATCGGTTGCCGGTACTTCAGGTGGTCTATATTTCCTCATCAATATCCCTGAATTTAGATAATACCCTGATGGCAATGACTGAACCTCTGATTTTGACACGGCTGTATTACGTAGTGACCTTAGAGATTCATCAGATTTCTGGGCCTCAATTAGCATTCTACTGGTTATAGAAACCTCATCAACGTTAATTACTTCCCCAATATCGTCAGTTCCCTCAATAACAGCTTCATCATTTACCTCAACAGCAGCTTCATCATTTACCTCAACAGCAGCTTCATCATTTACCTCAACAGCAGCTTCATCATTTACCTCAACAGCAGCTTCATTATTTACCTCAACAGCAGCTTCATCACCAAATAGACATTCAAGACCAAGCTCATTCTGACCAACACTTCTATCAGATAGCCTTGGCAACTTCTTCGCCTGACTTCTCGTTACAGCACATGCTGGAAAAAGTCCTGGATTAATTCTTGCAACATCTACAGCAGGATCATAAGCAACTGGGGACGGACAAACAACAGGATTAGGTAGCAGTCGAATCCCCGCAATATCATTCCCCATCAAAAATGATACTCCCTTAATAGGCAACGAATCATGAACACCTACTACAACAGGTCCACTCACCAAATCCGTCCTCAGATAAAGCTTACAAAGGGGCACTGTAACGCACCCTCCAAAACCTTCCACTACCACATACTTCCCAGTGTATGCATCCTCCAGAAAAGGAACTGCCTCCTTCAAAACGACACTATGTGAAGCACCAGTGTCACGAAATACAGACACGGGAACAGAAGGACTAGCTTCATCTAAGGCCACGGAACCAGAGAAGATGAAAGGCTGAAATGAATCATGATCGCTCGAGGTACGCTGCGACAGATCCTGGACATTGTCTGTTGATACAAAGGTGTAATTAGCTACAGGTTTAGGCTCTGACACTTGTCCTTCCTCATCAATTTAGGGCAATTTGCCTTAATATGGTCGGGTTTCTTACAGTAAAAACATCCAGACGACCATCCAGAACCCGTCCCTTTACCATAGCCACTTTTCTTTGCCACAAAGTCAGAATTCAAGCTATTCTGCCCAACAGACTTACCATCCACAGACGGAGCGAATGCGGAGGGGTGAGAGCATTTACTTACATTTACTTTACTTTTAGAAATCAAGTTAAAATTCTCAGCTAACAAAGCTGCTCTCTCAACTGTACTGACTTCGCGCTCCAGCAGGTACATGCGAATTTCTGGCGACACTCCCCTTATGAATTGTTCCAACAACACAAGTTCCTTTAATTTATTATAATCATTGACGTTACTTGCAGATAACCAACGAGTTTGCAGTTTAGAAATTTTATGCATATACTCTACAAATGACTGGTTCTGTTCTTTAATACAATTTCGAAAACGGTTTCTATAATACTCAGCACTTAGCTGATACGCTTTAAGAATTGCATCCTTCATGGTGTCATAGTCGGACTGATGTGATCCAGCCAGAGAGAGATAGACAGAGCGCCCCTTTCCTTTCAGACTCGACTGAACGAGTATGGGCCAGTAGTCACGTGGCCATTTCAAAGTGCTTGCCACGTGCTCAAACTGCCCGAAAAATTCCTCTGGGTCAGATTAATCAAAATTTGGGACAAACCTAATAACCCTGGAGGGAT